GGGGGGGTGCATGCTGGGCCACACCGCAAGGCAAAGGCACCGACAAAACCACTCAGCGCGCTTACGGAGTGCCACGAGGAGTGATTTCATTTTCTCATGCACGAATAAGGAGCGGACGGCGCAAAGAGGCGAGGCGGGAGGGGAGGAGGGGCAGAAACAGCAGCGCGGGAGGAGAGGGTGGGGTCACTCATATGTGCTTTATGTTATACACGCCACTCGATGTCGCGCGATCACAACATCGTTTAGCGGAACACCACCCCCGCAGTATCGTCACTCGTAACAAGGTCGGGCCAAGAGACTACAGTAGTCTCTTGGTCGGGCGCGGCGGCGTGGGCGACGGCGCTACCCCGCGTCTAAAGGCCACGGCGGCGGCTTCAGGTGCGCGTCGCGGCGGCAAAGCCCTCCGCGAGAGCGACAGGGCTGGAGGGCTGGAGGGCCCGCCCCCGCCGCGCTCGCTCTTCAGCGCCGTATCGAAACTCCTCCTCAAGCCAGCCGCCCGGGCGGCCCGCGGAGCACCCCGCCTCCCACGCCCGGCGAACAAAAGGGCCTTCGCGAACGGAGGACGGAGGAAAATAGGGGGATGGGGGCTTGATTGTGTGTGTGTGTGTGTGTGTGTGTGTGTGTGTGTGTGTGTGTGAGCGCGCGCGCGCGAGGGAGAGGTGCCGGCGCGAGGGAGAAGAGAAAGTGCAATATGAAAAGCAGGGAGGGGGCGCCGCTGTGAGCGATTCGCGTCCAGGGGCGGACAATACACACTGTAGCTAGCAATGACCCTGAGGTCAGCAGCAGTGGCAGTGGCGGCGGCCAGCACGCCGCACGCGGCGCTAAAGCCTTCCGCGAAGGCCTCTTCGTCCTCGTCACAACACGAAGCACCGCGAGGAATGCGCTCTGCTCTGCTGCACGGCGTTGGAGTGCCGAGTGCCCCGTCGCGGCGGGGAGAGCGACCACCCCCCGCCGTTGTCTCGCAAAAAGAACCGATACGTACACCTGTTCTCTCTGGTCCGGTGTGCAACGCCGGATAGGTTGTGGCGCTGCTGTCGCTTATTGGAGCAGTAGATCCGTCCTACCCCTTCCGAAGTGCAAGCAGTTGCAGTCATCGTGATTTATTCTGGGTCGGTTCCAACCCTTGGAGCACCGACCGAGAGGCGTGTGCGAGCCGGGGCTTGCACCCTCGCGGGCGAGGCTCGCCGGCGTCAGTAACTGACCTGCTTCAAGCACTACACACGAGAGCGGTCCTGCGTTCCTGAGGGCGGCAGGGACAGCGGGGGCAGCGGGGGGCGCGGCGCCGCCGCCGGGTACACAAGGTGCGTCGCGAGCAAAACCGCCACCCACCGCCCCTCTCCACCCCTCCGCGCACACAAAGAGGGGCTCTATGTTCGCAAGGATGAGTTAAGGCGGCGGGGAGGAGCGAGGGGCCAGGTGAAGCGGGGGTTCCCAATTTGTGGCGCAACTACGCGCGTCGGGGGAAGAGGCTGCGCCGGGGGGGGGGGGCAAAAGACGCCGAAGCCACGCGCGGAGGAGGTGTGGGTGGGAAGGAGGGGTGCAGCCCATGGGGCAAAGGTTTGAATCAGAGCGTCACCCTTTTTCGGGCCGGCCGGCCGCCGCCGCGTCAGGGGCGGAGTTCACCTCACCCGCGATACGACACGCCGCCGTCGACGGCCGCGGGGCGCGCAAGAGGAGCACAGGCACGCGCGGTGCGAGTATGACGGTCATCAGGACGGAGCGCGAGCAGCGCGATAGAGGGGCGCGAATAGAGATTTCAAAGTCCGGAAAAATTGATACAACTTTTCCAGGAATTTTTCGAAAAAGTTGAAATTGTCCCAGAAAAAAAAACATAAAGAAAAAACTTTGAAGGGGGGAAATTCAAACATCTTTTAAACTGTTTTTGAAAAATTTCCAAATTGAACTTTTCCCGAAAATGAAAATTCATAGTCGCGGAGCGGACAGTCATCCCGCCGCCCCGCCGCGCCCTGCTCTGGAATTAAGCGGAACGACGTGGCGGTGACATGTCAGCGGCGACAGTGGCCGCACAATTAAATGCGTCCAGCCATTGGGCCGCAGACAGACGGGGGGACCAATTTTCCGAGAAGACCGTCTAATTTAAATTTGGCAGCTCGTGACTTTTTCGTCTCGGCTGCTGGATCGTCGCGCGACTACGCGCGACGGGTGCGCCCGGTTCGCTTGTCTGATGAGAGGCCCAAGGCGGCCCTAAATGTGTGTTTTTGTTTTCTCTTTCGCTCGCACCACTCCAATGATATGACAGGAGTTACATGTGTTCGGTCTGATTCTTTGGATTCAAGGACGGTGTGGCCAGTGCCATTGGTGGTGCACATGGTCACGTATGGTGCAGCGGGAAAAGCGTGTCACCACAACCGTTTGCTAAAGAAGGCGCAGATCAGCTGCTCAAACAGCGTCGCTTTACTCCTATGGCCTAAATCACTTATTGTCACAAGCATTGCATTTGGGCCGGGCCACCTCGCATAAAGGCAGCCAGTGTCTTCGCCTCGCGCCCACGAGCGAGAGGTCCGCGGCGATGGAGTCGCTACGCGTGGCCAAGGTGGCCCAGTGCCTGGCCCTGTGCGCCCTGGTGCTCACCCTCGTCGCGCTGCTCCCCGCGCCCCACGGCATGGTATCCCCGAGCTCGGAGGCCGTCAAGGTACCGCAAGAAAACACGGGCACCATAGACGCATTGCTGTGAAAATGTCTTTCTTTGTCTCCGATGATGAGTGCATATCATAGCTAGGGTGTCATCTCGGATTTTCTGTCTCTCCCCTTTAACCTGAAGAAAACTTATAGATAGAGTTTATTCTCATTATTAATAATCCAAACACACGTTTGCAGTGTAGCGTTGCATTTACCGAATTACTGTAATTTCAGCGCTTCAGGCGATACCTAGTCAGCGTCCCACCAAACTCCATCGTCAATTTCACTGGCGTAAGCTCTAGTTTTATTATTGTTTAAAAAAATACTTTAAAGGTTTTGTCCTACGATTTCGTTCGATTTAAATAATTACAATAACCTTATTCGATAACGAAACAAATTTTGTTACAGTGGCAACAGACCTACGTTCCCCTCGGCGTGGCACTATTCGGGAGGAACCCATACCTTTTAAATTTCGGCTGAGCCATTCAAAGCAAATAAACGCTGGAACTAGAGAAAAATTGCGAATCTTGCCTCATTGTTAATTGGTACCCATTACTCAATATGTCTAACCATTTTCAAACCAGTTCGAGCCGAAAAACCGAAATGACCGAATGACAAAACGCCAAGTAACTACCCGGAGGCGGGTCTACGGTACGCGGTACGGTCTAATTTTCGGATAGGTAAATGGATTGCCTACCCAACCCAAGATGAAAGAAAGGCGTGCGTTTCATGCGCGTTAGGTTGGCAGCATCGCCTGAAAATTACTTCCCTCCCATTCTTGCGTCAACGGGTTGAACTGCCACGACTGCCACATGACTCACGCATGTTTGAGAAGCGCGAGTAGCGAGCAGTAGCGAGTATTGGCCTGCCAGCTGATCACACAGAAGGCAGGTTCAACACATGGACTAAAGTTCGCTCGCAGCCACGATGGTCGGCGTAGGTCGGCCCCCGGACCGCGCGGCCGCCGCCGACGGCCAGGACGGCGACGACGACGAAGCTCCCGCGGCGCGGCCGATGCCGCGGGGAGGCGCCCTCTGTCTGGCGCACGCCTGCCGCCTGGACCTCGAGGTGTGCCCGAGCCAGGACGAACAGGTCGACATGGCTGACCACGTATGGGTCCTGTCGGAGCCCCCTCGGCTTCAGCGCGTCTGTCCTGGGGCGGCGGTCCAGGTACTGACGGCTGGCTTCACCTTTCACAAGTAACTTCTCTCACTCACCTAGATCTGTCCTTCAGCACACATCCCTGCCGTCGTCCACCAATCCGTCATCCATGAGGACCGGAACGTCAGGCGTCCATAGTCGTTTCCAGTCAGTCTCTCACTCGTCATGAACCTCTGCCATATGGTCTTTGAAATTCAATTCATCAGTAGTACATGAAACAGCATTATTTAATGACGTTGAAGAGGACATACATGGATCAAAACTGGTCTTAAAATAGCCTCAAACACAATAGTTACAGGAGCCATAAATATTAATTATAACTTTATAAAATTCATAGGATTAAATAATAAACAATAAAGGCTAAAAATGAAAAGCTTAATTATTTGGGCCAGAACTGTTCCTTGCACTTTATCACAGATATGTTAAAACACTGCATATTTAACATTTTAATGTCAATATGAACTAAGCAAAGACAAAATTGTTACAAACTTAATTTTCCCAAGCAAAATGATTGATGGACTGTCTGTGCCATAATTTAAAGTACAATTACATTATCACAAAATGTTACACTTACGCCAATCCAACAAGCTTCCTCTGAAGTAAACTTAGGGACTGATCATCAAGCACAACAGTGACATTCCTTTCATTAGGTGGAACAGGTCCATCATAAGGAATCTTTACCCATCCAATCTCAATAGAATTATCTTCTTTCAAAGCCTAGAAAAGAAAGGAAAATGCATTACAAGGAAACAAAGTAAGACAAATGCAAAATTTATAATCATATTGCATAAATATTTCAAACCTTTGACATTTCTTTTGAAGGGAATGTTGCAAAATCAGCATCTGCTTTCAGCCCAGGTCTTCTACTTACAGCTTCAGTTAAAATTGCCGCCTTGAAAAAGAAGATAAAGACACACATTTAATGAGCATTGCACATCAATAAGACCTTGATCATTTTGAAAGAAAACCATTTAATTTACCTGTAGCTCTTGAGTTCTCAGCTGCAACTTTTTCATGCGAGAGTTTTCTTCAATAAGCTGATTTGATAAAGTGGTTTGACTCTTAGTCTTCTTTGTGATATCCACGACTTTAGGCATAACCCATGCCTCATGCACATCCTGCAATATAAACAAGCGAAAACCAATATACAATACCAATGCCATTTTGTAATGGTTAACATTGTATTAAATATTACAAAACAGTCATTTTTACCTTCCACAACGAAGAGGCTTTCCGGGATAGATCATCAAGTCGCTTCATTGAGTCAGAAACTTTATCTCTGTTGTCAATAGATTTGGGTGCCTAGAAAAATAACAGGTTGAGTAAAAAATCTTTGAAATAATTACTAGCATAAACAGGCAGAAAGAAACAAAGAAACAAATCTCAATACGTTTTTGACGTTGAGATTTTACTACGTACTGGGAGTGGAGTCAGAGAGTCCAATTTATCTTTACAGAGTTGAGACTGCAGACGCACATTCTCATTGCGTTGGTTTCTGAGAGCAAGACGTAGTGTGTTGATTTCTTGTAGTAAAAATGGAGATTCATTTCCAACTGAAATGCTGTGCCCAGCATCTGGCGAAACTGGACTATGAGTGGGGCTAGGAGCAGAGGCTGCAAAATGAAGGGCAATAGAATAGTTATGGTGCCAACTGTGATGAAGTTAAAGGGGATGGTGAATTGGATGTATACACTACCACTCTTGGTATCAGCAATCGCTTTTTTGGTCATGTTCTTGAGCTTCTCTTTCAGTTCTCCCCTCTCAGATTCCAAAGAGTCAATATCAGCTTGCAAGTGGTCCATTGTTTCTTCAAACTCCTTTTCTTTGCGTTTGAGCATAGCTTGTGCATCCTCCAATTTCCGCTTCAAAGGGGAAGACATTAATATTAGAAAAGTTCTTTTCAAAATTCCAGCAACTTCAAAACACTTTCAAACTGTATGAAATACCTGCAGCTTCTCATTGGAAATGGTAGAGTCTTTGGTGGAAACTTCCAATTTACGCTCTGCCATGTCTCTACGCAGTTGCAATTCACTCATTTCTTCTTGTTTTGCCTTCAAAGCAAGGCGCAGTTCTTTGATGTCAGCTTCTTTACTTTCTAATTTTGAGGACAACATCTTTGTTTCCTCAAGTTCAGTTCTTACTGCTTTAGCACGTAGTTGAATCGGGGGAACAGGCTGCAAAACAAGAATCAGTTCATTTAAGTGACTGCTCTATGCATGACCATGACAAACCATGCAGTAAATTGAAGCCCATCTCTCACTTTTTCCTCTGGTTTAATTGGCATTCCTGCCTCATAATCGTTGTCTTGCAGAATTTGAACTAAGGATGCTACTTGTTGACTAACAAATTCTAAAGCACTACGAAGGCTATCAACAGGTCCGGGTCCTCCCTCTTCTTGCTCAAGGCATTTGCTTGAAGCAGCCGTTACAAGTTCCCTCAGCTTCAACTCAGACAGGCCAATATCAGCATCTGCAATATTATCATCAGCATGCACTTGCATAAATATCAGACTAGGTAGTTAGTAAATTGAACTAAACAGAAATAAATAGAAATAAATGTCAGTACCTCCAGCATTTGAAAGAGAAGAGAGCGCTGATCTAACAACATCGCGCACAAGGCGAGTTACTCGTGTGGCATGATTAACACAGCAGTCTTGAAGAGCAGCCGCAAGACCCATTTCTAGACCCATATTTAAAATGGCCCCTTCCTGCTGGCCCTGGGGAATTCTTCTCCTTGCTGTTTTTAGTTGAGCTGCCAAAGCTTCTGATACAGCAATCATATGGGTAGCAAGTGCCGCCATGTCACCTCCATCACTAGCCTTGATTTAGAAAATTAAACAGACCATGACATGACTTTTTTTTTCCTCATGGTGTGAAGATAGTATTTACTTATAGCTATAATTTAATGACAGGGCTCAAGAGGTTAGATTAAGATACTTAAGACATTACCTTTGAAAGAGCCAAAATGGCAGAGGCATCTGTACGAAGGCAATCAGATGCAGCAGTAAGGGATTTTGAAATATCAGTAATCAGCTGACTCTGATTGATCTTAACCTCACTGCCTAAGAGAATGGGATACATGGTACAGAAGTAGTTGATACAGCGCTCCAAGCCTTCCAGGTTAACATTCTCATCCAGCTGAAATATAATTGCATTATTTGTGTGAATCCAGGTAATTATACAATAAGATGTGCGATCAAATCAATCTTCACAAACCTGGTCTTTACGAAGGAGTTCTAAAAAGTGGTCAATTGCTTTTTCCTGCACAGCCATATCAGGATAAGCTGCAGCAACTTTCAGTAATGTTGGAGCAGAACATGAGTTTAAAGCATGAGCGAATTGATGAAGAACACACTGTAAATAATTTAATAAAATGTCTTACACTTAAAATCTGAAAATATCTTGACAACAAAAAGGAACTTACTGATTTCTATTTATTCTCCCTTACCTGGGCATTAAAGAAAAGATGAGATAGTCTACATCTAAAAGCATACTGTTCAACTGTATGACCACGGAGAAGACTTGCTTTGTCAATAGTCTCAACATTAGGAAACTTTTCTTTCACTTGATTGAGTAGAACCTCAGTTTTCCAAAGCAAACGAGGTACCATTAGCAAGAGAAGCACAGCATCATGATCACCTACAAAATGATAAATTGATAGCAATAAACACTTGCTGGAGCCAAACTTTCAAAATATGTCTGAGAATGGTTACAAAATATAAGGCATACCTCCACGACTCATAAAACTATCTGGCATAAATCCAGTTAAATATTCAACGTGTTGATTTGACTCCTGAACCTCAATGCGTCTCAGTTCTAGGTCAATTGCACGAGTATGAGCCTTTGACTCAGCAAACATTTTCTTGAAATCAAGCATTTCAGGTAATTTGCTAACAGGTCTTTCAGATTCTCGTTCTAGTTGTGCCTGGAGATCTTGGCACTGCTCTTGGTACTTTTGAACGACTTCTCTAAATTTACTGATGGTTTGTTCCCTATCAGCTAAAGTTTCCAAGGCAGCTTCTTTGTCCCTGTGGGCTTCCCTCATTCCTGCTCTAGCAAGGTCAGCCTCTTCTCGAAGCTCCACTTCCAATTCCCGGGCGCTCTCAGCTAATTGCTCATTCATGTCAACAAGCTGTTCTAGTTCTGTAACTTCCTCCATGAGAGCAGCAACTTTTTCTTCCAGATTCATCTTTTTATCTGCCAGCTGCTCAACCATATCCTCGGCACCAAGAGCAGCATCAACCTGTATTGAAACATAGAAAGAAATCTGCATAGTCTCAAGCTAATTGGAATTAAAAAGTGTGTTTCGATTAACTGAAAAATTTAGTTCACCTGTTCTTGTAAGTCTGCAATTTGACCCTCGAGCTCTTCCACGCGGGCACTCAGTTTCTCTTTTGTGCGGCTGAGCTCAGCATTTTCAGATTTACGTTGGTCAAGATCTTTCTGTAATTTCTGAAACTCATGCTTGTCATGGGCAGATATATCTCGGAACCTGCATCACACATTATAAGATGGATAAATTCTAGACATACATCTGAATTGGTAAAGATTTTTCTGCTTTCATACGGTCACATTTTATTTTTACCTCACAATGGTTTCATGAAGGCGTGCATTTTGCTGTTCTAGCTGCTTCACTTTGAATACTGTTGATGACGACAAATCGCCTGTTCCTGAACCGCCACTCTCAGTCTCAGACATTTGGGCCTTTAGAAGTTCCAGGTCAACAGTCAACTCCTCAATCTTCTCTTTGGCTTGATCCAACTCTACCTGCAATGTCTCTGCCTGAAACATACAAAAATACAAGTTATTTGAAGGTATTTCGGAAAATACAGATAAAAATACTTCACTTCAGAAACTTACTTTTTCCTCAGCCATTTCTTTATCAAGTGTAGCCATCTCCATTGATTCAGCTAACTCTGACATTTCTTCAGCATGAGCATCTTTAGCTTCTACAGCTTCACGAGCCTCTAGACGAGCTCGTTGGAGATCTCTCTGCAAATGTGCTTGGGACTCCATGATACGATTTTTAAACTCTAGCATACTTTCAAGCTGAAGCTTGGTTTTTTCAAAATCACGTAGTTGTTCTTTGTCTTGAAGACGCTTTGCTACATTGGAAAAGCATACCAGGTGAGCACAAACTAATAGTCTTCAGAGAGTGAAGATAGAGCACAGAAGCATATTCCTTCTGAGATAGCATACAAAAATTTTCGCCAAACACAGTTAACTACAACTAGTAAAGGAATGACTAACCTTTGATAGTATCCAGTTTTTCCGTAAGGTCACGAACTTGGGCCTTCAGAGAATCATTTTCCTGCTGCAACTGCAAATGGCTCAAACGCTCCCCAACATCACCACCCCCTCCAGGGCTACCTTGAGCTGCAGATGGTGGTGACAGAATACTGCTGTTCAAACCAGCTCCTGGTGATGCAAGGACTAGTCCAGGAGTGAACTGAGGCTTAAGTGTTTCCACAAAACCAGTCTGGAATAAGAATTTTTCAATACTTTAGAAAATTAAAAACTAGAATGGGAACACCAGTATCAAATTAATGAGCAGTACTTGTAAGTCAATCTAATGTTGATCAACGATTATAACCCACATAAAAAGCCCTACAGGCACCACACAATCACTACAATACTTGATGATTACAATGAAATGTGAATTACTGCCTGATTCTACATTATCTTTAATAGAACCATGATATTTTGTTTGGGAAAATGATAAAACAAAAGATGATATGACATTACTTAAAAAAAAAATGAGACCAGTATAGCATATTTAAATACTTCTTTCAAGAAATAAACTAAAAACCCACACCCGTTCAAAGACCTGCAATATTTGTTCAAAGAAAATTAGATCAAAGCAATTAAAAATATAACATTATTAAAGGGTAAGAATGTCAGTATAATCTCGAAAGAAATATTTTTTGTTGAAGTACCCTTGCAATACAATTCTACAACCCCATTTAACAGAGAAGTGGTATACTAGACCAACAGATTGCGTGCATACAATTTAATACGTAGTTACAGTTTTAGGCCATAATCATGTCTTTCACATAGTATTTCCAGCTGTTAATGGTGAGAGTGCTGTACATGCACAAGTGCTCTAGGATAACTTCTAAAAATTATCATGTGCTCCTACTCCTACAACATAAACTATGAAGGCCAGTTCAATTCCTATTACAAACGCAAAGAAAAGGTATAGAGAAGAGAAATTAGATAAAAGATCAGTCACATTTAGAGATCCAATGCAAGCACTAAATAGGTGTGTTGGCAAAAGAGAGCATTCTGGGGGAATGCAAATTTAATTGGAGATCTTAGAAGCGGGTGCTATAATCAGTCATGCTAGAAGATCTTACAGTAAAATTAACAATTAGAACGGTTTGACATAAATTCTGTTGAGCTGTAAATCCTGAAGTTAAACAAGTACGTACACAAAAGCATCTACAAGACTATAAATTGTAACATGCTGGGACATAGATCGCTTATAAAGCAATTAGGGTTATTCCTGAAAAATGTATAAAAATGAAATGGTAAGTTTAAAAAATTCCTACCTAACTTGTCCATTCACTCCCTAATACACTATCCTTTTGATTGATATTATTCCCACCTTTTTAAATAATTAATGTGCTGGCTACTTTCTAACTTCAGAACTTAAAATAGATATGTGGGTAAAGATAGCACCAATATTCACAGTTCACATTATAGCATTTGCTGGATTATTATTTTGTTATGTGGCCCTAGTGTGCATGACTAGGAATGTTAGTACAATACAACATAAAATAATATACACATTAAAATCAACACCATGCAACAGGATTAGTAGCTACAATGCGAAAGTAAGACTTGTATGGTTGTTGGAAATGGAATTAATGTGCATCAAAAAATGATTTTGAAGAACATAGAGATTTAAATATCACTATCACCCATTAAAATCTACCTAGGTGAGCTCTAAAGAGATGATGACTGCTTATGTGTCAGCAGAAAAATGTCCTATGAACAGCAAAACCGAAAAAAAATCAAAAGACCATAAAAAACCACACCATTCAGCCTTCAGCTAGACGAAGGAATGAGGTGAAAGCAGTCATGAGGCATGATTCAACCAAACAAATAGGCCAACAGATCAGCCAGCAGACAGAACACACACTTTCTTACAAAGAAATAGAAACCACTGGAGTGGAATTGGGGAAATTACAGTCTTATGTAAGCCTGTATTTAATTAATAAAATTACTAATAATAATGAAGCATGCAATAACTTCCGAGATAGATAAATAAATGATTACTCAACACTTGAGGACAAGAAATGGGATGTACAAATATTACAAAAATAATTATATAGGGTTAGATAGTCAATTTATAAAATGTTAACAGTGGTTTCCACTCAAACGCGTCTTTAAAACACATCCATAGCCACAAGCAGCAAGAAGTAGTTAATGAAGGAAAGAACTAAGGTTAGGCAACACAAAAAGAAAATGAGTAGGTGAATGATCATCCCAGAGGGTTAGACAAATGTAAACAGGGAAATTACTTGGTCTGCACTTGTGCTAGATTGAGGGACTGGAATACTCTGCGGTCGTTTTGGGGTGGAGGCACTTGAGGTTGGCGATGTGCTTTGCCTGAAGTTTGATGGAGGTGCAAGCTTGGATGGCTTGCTCGAGGCTAAAGAAGGGATACCTGAACCCTGCTTAGAACTTACAGACGCTTTTCCTGGCTGTAACAAAACACAACAAAAAGGCATGCACAACATAAACAACAGTACAGAAGACAAGCTTTGGTGACATGCTGCATATTGACACATAAAATTTTGAATAATTGAAGAGGACTGGTGACACTTCAGATATATTGTTTGATCAATGTTAGAAATCTTACTCATTTTATCTTAAGGAGGTGAAGGTATAGAGATTTGGTTTAACACACTGGTAAGTCACAGTTTTGATTCAGGCATCAGGCTCCATCACCATATTCGAACAAAAGCACAAAACACACACAACAGGGAGAATAAGTGCATCATGATGCAACACAGTTGAAGGAAACTGAAAAATATAATTCCTAACAACATAGTATGATTCCATAGTATCTTTGTGCTTGGATGGAGTAGTTCAGCTTATCCAACTAGTACACTAGGTTATTTCTAGGTAAAACCTTTTTCTGAACACAATCACACACACAGCTAATAAAAAGAAGAATACTGAACATCATTTTTCATAAGCTTCAACTGATGTCTTCCACAGAGGGAGAAATACATGTAATGTACACATACACACTTGTGGTAACATTGACAATAAATAATTAAAGACTTGATGGCTACTGTAAATTGACAACCTATTAGTTTTAAACTTTACAGATGGCTTAACCTACATATAAGAAAGAAAGCTTGCTTGGACAAAGCTCAAAGGCATCTTATTATACCAGGAACTACCTAGTTTTGTATATCTATTTTCTTAATTGATACCATTTGAAAAAAAATAAAATAAGGAAAAAGTAGTTTACATAATAAGAACAGAAATCTGGCTTGCTAACATGCTCTAATTTATCTTTGCAGAACAAAAACAAAAAACGAGGGCAACATAATCTACAGGAAGGTACCATAACGTTTGAGTTAACTTTTCTCAAGTCGTCAAAAATATGACTCAAAAGGAAATCGCAACTTTCAAATAGGATTCTTACCTCAACAAATGATGCTCTCTTCGCACTTAAATTTTCTGTGGATTGTCGTGGTGTTCTCTTAGCACTTAAATTTTCTGTTGATTGTCTTGGTGTTGATGCCAGTTTTGTGGTGGATGCTGAAGGTGCACCAAGATCAGAAGGACTTCTTGATCCAATGAGGGACAGGCGTGAGCTGAAAAAGAAAAATGGCTTGGTGAGTCCATCTAGAGATGGAATGATAGGCAAAATAGTTTCCAGATAACACCACCAGAGTTGTCCTAAACATAAATCCATCTTTAGAAACATAAAAAAATGGATATACAATGAGATAAAACATTGAAAATATTTGACACATTTCAATTTAAATGAAAACTATCACATTGAAGGTGATACAGCTTCAGTCTCACCTGAATTTCTCTATTTTAATTTCGGTAGCAGCTCTAGAGGCTTGTGCAGGAGAAGATTTCCGTCGAACACTTCAAATGAGTATGGTAGCACCAGAAAGCCGAAGAATGAAAGACAGACAAGCAAGATATGAAGATGAGTTTTAGCTTAAGCAAAGACCCCACACCACAGAATAAGAGGGACTATCACTCTAAGACTCATTGCTGTAGATTTGATGTAAGAACGAGTGGAAGAATAAATAGATCAGGCATAAAGAAATTACATAGATCGGACAGACAGAAGCAATAGGAACTAATATGAGGCAGCCTACTCGAACACAGACCCTCTACAACTCACCTGGTGGGTTCATTTTTTTTTCTCAAACTATTTCCAAATGCAGCAGAACAGAGAAAACAGATTTTGATTTGCAGAAGATGTCAGGCAAATAGAGAGAGGATAGTAGTAAAATATAGAAAGAAGCTTTATCCTAAACTAAAAAGAAATTCCTTTTATAAAGTTCCATACTCACTTGCTGAGTCTTGAGCGATTCTTATCTTCTGACGGAGTGGGACTTGATCTTGCGGAGTCTGAGGGTATGGGATTGCCTGCCTCATCCAAGAGAGCAAGCTGCGTTTGACGAACAAATGCTCCATAGTTATCTCCACACTGTAAATACCATATATTGAAGGGTCAACAAAAACATCAGATACCTCAGATATTTTCATACAAACAAGAACATACCTTAAAATATTCTTTTCCTTGCACAGATCCATTGTTTTTACCTTTAGGTTCATCAAGAATGACACCTATCCATTTCCCTGCAGCAAACAAGGTGGATCCTACATACGCAACTGAACCACAACCTCTATCCTGCACACTGACTCGTTGGCCCACTTTTAGGGGCTTTTCTGCCATGTCTGCAAAGGAAAGAGAAGTAATACTGAATTGAAGTCATAACTCCAATGGAGGACCCTGCTTCTCACTATTTTCGTAGTTGGTTGAAGTGTCTCTGATCAACAGAAGGAGATAGGTAGAGAACTTCTACTGCCCCGCATCTTTGCAGTAATTAAAGAAAATGTGTTGTTTTCTATAAATGAAAGCTAAGACTGTATGTGCTACTCTACAATTGAGGCGCCTATTTCGTAGAGAAACGTGTTCGTTGAAAGGGATCCTCAAAGGTTTAAAAAAAAGTGAAAACATGATCAAATTGGCGGTATGAGGTAAGGATATAGAGGTTATGTCATTCCAACAGTTTTAGGGGCGTACCATAGAGAGAACTTAAATATCACTGAAGGTACACGAAGTTATAGAGTGAAAATGATCAAAGCACCTAATACACGAGTTTAAAGGACTAATTACTCACTGAAATAGTGTTTCAGAGGCAAATACAACTACAAGACAAGTGTTCATTCACAACACTAGATGGTGACAGCTGACTGCAGTTGACAGCTTGCTGTTGGATAATATCAAGTTTCCCAAATATAGTTGCTACACAGAAATCGATTACTTTATGAAAGAAAATCATATTTTTAACATTTTTAAGTTTTCTATAATAATTACGATGCCGAATCAAACAAATATCTCAGCAGCGTATGCTTTTGCATAAAATATCTTCGGATTTGCTTTCTTAGGTTACCTACACTCATTACCGTGCTTCACCTGTTTTTTCAGGATTTCGTCTGTTATATTTGGTAAATAAATACCTCCTAAGGTTATGTACTTCTTAAGCTAAAGCTAGATATTGAAGTGATTGAGTCCTGTTGAGTCCTAAAAGTTGTGAAATTGCCACAATCATGAGTCTTACGGATGAACTTTCGACATCACCTGTAGATGGACTGAACATATCGTGTGGAAATGAGGAGGTCTGTAAAAATGTATCTTTAAAAGGCCAGAGGGTATTCTTCATTCTAATATGTGTTACTTTAAACAATATTTTAATTTCTGCCATTCAGGTGCAAGTCGTTGAAGCACCAGAGAAAATAAAACTTCGTAGCTGGTTGAATAAGAATCTCCGAATTGAAATGTCTGATGGACGAATTCTAGTTGGTGCATTTCTGTGTACAGATCGTGATTCAAACATAATTCTTAGTTCGTGTGCGGAATTTCTCAATAGCTCATGTAAGTAATATTCTATTAATTATCATCCATGTCTGTATTTCTCTTTGACTACTACCTGTCTTCTGAGAGCGATGTATTCATATTTGTTGTCACCTTTTTCCTGTTGCAGCGGAAGAGGCTCGCATTCTTGGTTTGGTCATGATACCGGGTAGACATATAGTTAGTATTCATGTAGACAATAGTTATGAAACAATGTAAAACTAGGTTTAATTATCAATGCTTTTTTGTCTGGTTTCTTTGAAAAAATTTGCCTGTTATTTTTCGGAGTAAACGGCAATGTTATTTTAAATTATTTTGTCTGTGATCTTTTGTCCTAATGAATTCAATTAAATTCAACTGTGTACCAATCAACTATGCTTCATTTTATGAGATAAAAATCTGAATCAAAAGTAGAACAACAGCAGTGTGATGGTAAATTTTGTAATTTAAGATATACATCTATTCAATTTAAAAATGAATGATCAGTTGTTTTTAGGGTAAGGTTTGTGAGAGTGAAGGACCAAGTGGTACTCCAAGTTAACTTCAATTCACCACAACTACTTTGACACAAATTCTGTTCCTCTTGGCCTTCCCTATCTGCTGTGAGGGTGAGACAACAAAAAGCATAGAGGCGTGAGGACTCCTAAGAATAAGAAGGCAGAAAGCAAGAAAAAGATAAAAAAAAAAAGAGGGATGAGAAAAAAGAAAGTGACGCACTACAAAAGGAAAGGAAAAGTGCGTCCCCTACCCCTATCAACGCACCCATCCGCGCGCGGACCTTTTGTCCTCGAAGTTGTCCCTTTCCTCCCCCAAGGGGAGGGGATAGAAGAGGGGTGTGGGGGGAGGGCGAAAAGTGACAGCGA